ACACACACCAACATTTTGAGGAGAAAATGTTAGGGCATCAGTATTAGGAAATGATATATACTGAAGTTTTTAAATGAATTATTTATGATTCCAGAATTATTTTATGATTCCATGATTCCTATGTTATTACAGTACATTTTAATTGGTTCTCCCAGGCAGCTTGTCTCAAGTCTATCATGTGCATATAAAAATAATGGGGACAATCAAACTAAATTTTATGATATTGAAGATTTTTTCCTAACTGAAACTGTCCTTGCATTTTAGATATCAGTGCATTGACATGAAAATCAAAGCTGCCTCTTAAAAACTGAGAATCATTTTAGTCTATGAAAAAACATATTTTAGCTGGGAACAGTTTTCTTAAAATTTCATCTGCCAAAAAAATAACTTAATACAGAAAATATTTCTAATGTTTTATGATAACTTATTAACAACTATTGTTTAACCCTTTTGGAATGCAGAAACTTTAAGTTGTTGTCCTGAAGATTTTTATACATATATGTTTCATAAAAGCTTAATAGAATTCCTTATTAAAGATTTAATATGTAAGTTTATTCATCCCTGTACACACCTTTAGAAGTGTGTAAAGATATTTTCATATGCAGCTGTTTTGTATAAAAAGGATAAATTAAAAAAACAAAACAAAAATGAAAAGAAACAATAGTAAGTAAAATATGCAGTAAATCGGCTTTTCAGTTTATTTAAATAATAAAAAAGAAAGAGCAAATTAACATTCCCACAAATTGGGCATTTACATTACTTATTAAACAGAATTCCCTCTTTTGATTGAAATAGAGCAACCCTTTTTAAAAACACTTAGTATACCTCTTCGTGAAGGGCTTAAAGTCTGATCATATTAAGAATCCCAACTCTCATTTTAAAGAAAATGACTTATATATTCTCATTAAAGAGATTATCAATTTTTAAATTATATGTTCTTTATTACCATAAAATTGAATGTGAAAAGGAATTATAAATTATGAGAAAGTTACTGCGATTATAAACCAACTATTGAAATCA